ACCAGTATGACTCCAGTAACTGGACAGACAGAAGAAGGTAAGAGACTTGGGTCCTGATTCACACGAGTAAGAATTCCCCTGATATTTGTGTATGTGATTTCACGTTTGTATTAGCAGTTTAGGATTATCAGATAAGCACTCTTAGCACACTAACTCATTGCAAGCAGCGATACCTAATGTCAATACCCACAAGGTGTGGTTTCCTGAAAGCTGGACAATTTGAACACAGTTTTTTTTTCTCAGAGGCCAGTTAATTCTCCTCTTGATCTGGCAGATGAGCAAAGGTTCATCATTTGCTTAGAGATGGCACTAATCCAGTTTAACAGTAAGCTGGCAGCCATATTCTTCGGCATTCCTTTGAAATATTTGTGATCAGCAAGGATAATAGAGGAAAAGGGGTTGAGGTGGGTAGGTCTGGAGTTCCGTGTGTGTAGGACACACTGTTGACCTGCACCAGGACAGACAGGTGGTGTTCTACTGAATTTTGCAGGGGGAAGTTCATTAGGGATGGCTGTGCATACTCAACATGCTCATTTGCAGCATCTTCTCTAAAGAAGAAAGATCCCTCTTTCATTACAGCAGTGTTCTGTGCATGTAAAAAATCTGCACATTTTCTTTACTTTCCATTGAGCAGGTATTACCTACAAAGACTTACCCTCCTTTTCTCCTCTTCTTCTTCCAGAACTGCAAACATGTTGATGGCTTTGAATTGTTCGGAGCCGTTCAAGCATACAGCAAGTAGCTCTCTACCTGCTCGGTACTTCCATTTGAGCCATTTCAGAGACAGGCTATAATTCTTACCAGGTGGATGGGCTGGCTGGAGAAGGGAAGGGGGAAAAAAAAGCCTAAAGGGACTGGAAACTACCTGAAAATACCAGTACAATTTCAACACCTTTCTCTTCTTTTTGTTTCACAAATTACGGACAGCTTCTGGCAATATTTAAGAGGTCACACAAACTCCCTTATTTTAATGTCAAACCTGCACCATATTTACTGAATTACCAAAGATGGTAATTCCAGTGTGTTAAAATTCTCTATCTTGCTGCTCCTCCTCTGTTGGTAGCTCCCTGCGTGATACTCCGGTGTGTCTCCCGTACTGCTGTGTGGGTACTTCCTTGGAACAGATACTCCCATGTGGTTTGTGGGGGGTTTTTTATTTTTTTATAGTTCAGACTACTGTTTGGAGGTTGTATTTCTTAACTATGCAATTGCAGGCATAGGATTAAGAATGAAAATAGGACATCTAAATCAGGTGCAACTAATGATATTCCAGTGTATATAATAAATGTGGGGAATTGTACCAATTAATTAAAATAATCCTCTTTACAATGTGTTAAAGCATTTGAGAGGCATTGTTTGGTAAGATAAGCTCGCTCTTTATTCTGAAGAGTTGAGTCCTATGTTGATATGCTGGATCATTGCATATCATGATTTATAGCTTACAGGGTTGGACAAAACTATGCTTATCACTTGGTGTGACCGGTTGTGTAATGCCAGCCAGTGAACTTCACCTTAACTTCACCCACGTAACCACTCCATCAGTCCCATAATTTACATTTGAGATGCAACATGTCTTTCAGAAAGATTTGCAGTTCTATATAAAGACTCCAAGCAAAACAGAATTCACATTCCATAGGTAAAATGTTCCAGCCATTAATTAGCAGCAGTATTAAAATTTCACCTTCATTGTACAATGCATTTACATAGCATCAGTTTCCAGAAACTGTCTTTAATTATGCCAGTTTTGTTCAAGCTGTAGCAATATGTGTGGTGGAGCAGCTCCATACTAATAGCGGAATAATGATATATAGGGACACATTGAAAAATCAGCAGTTCCAGGTTAGAAAATTCAAACACGTGCTTAAAAGGCAAGGGCACAAGCATCCAGCATTTATCTCCAGGAAACTGCAAATCCTTTTTGTTGTCTCCTTTTTCCTTTCCTTTCAAATCACACTGAAGTTCAATTTTCCAAAGAAGTGTGATAGAGAGAACCCCGGTCCTTCTGAAAGTGGACAAGATGTTCTCATGTCAGCAGGTTCTGTAGGTGACAGTGTGATACTGAGAGAGAAGCCCAAGAAAGCATGCAGGTTCTAGGCTGTGTGTCACATGCCTGCCTTTTAAGCATCTCGGGCATGGAGCAGTAATTAATATAGCCAACAGGAAAGGGGACAGCGATACCCCTGCTGTCCCATTTCTCAAGCCACTTCACTAAAGTTTGAAGAAAGACTCTTATATTCACTTGGCATTTGCTGCTTGGAACTTGTTCTTGAGGGCAGGTGCTTACATTCTTTCCTCTAAAGAACTAAACAGAGCTAAAGGATTTAAAATGTGCTAGAGAAGTAGCCTGTGGTCACCATTCACTTACTAATCCAGTAGCTACAGTTATAACCCAAGAAATGAGGTAGTTGGTTTATTCTTCTCAGCCTCATGCATATTCAGTCTCACGTCTCCCTTTCCCAGGAGAATACCCTTACCACCAGATTAAAGGGATGGGAACAAACCTCTTCCATCGAAGCTGTATCACCACATCTGAAAGAATCCAAGATCAATTTCAGTAGAGAACAAGAGGAAGAGAGAACATGGCTCCCTGTCTTGTTAGGACTCTCACTTTAGGGAGAAGACATGGTTATCCTTCTAAAACATACATTTATTATCTCTCAACTATTCTAATTGTTCTATAGTTATCATTAGTCCTAAGTGAGGACACAAAGCCTGTATTGGTCTTACTAATAATGCCTGGACATGTAATTTTTGTTTGTTTTTGCTTTGATAGTCTCTCAGCTATCCATCCACTCACAGCTGTCATCTTTACTAACCCATAACAGGGGAGCATATATTCACTTACTCACCAGGACAAACTATCGCTGTTTACTCTAAACTGCCTTCCAGAAAACAATCCTCCATTCTTTTTCACTAGATACCTGACCTTGACTTCAACATTTTTGTTAAACAAATGAGGCCACCTTACCAAGGCGTCTAGCTTGGTCTGTTCCATTACCCCGTATCCATCATAATTGACCATCAACAAATCTTTGTTGCATGGCATTTAATCAGCCATTTGTTTATTCTCTCTCAAATCGCTGGTATATCAAGCAGCTTTGTAATATTCTGCATATCACTAGTAGAAATACTCCAATGGATGAAGATTTACAAATATTTTAGATTGTATGGGCTAAATGTATTTTGGTTTTTGCTAATTTCTGTTTAATCATCATAAGGATCAAGCCACGTGCTTTATGGACTGCTATTACAGACATTCCATTACCTTTTTCACTGAAACTTGCATTGCATCAAAATGTAGTTTGGCAAGATTTGTTTCCCATCTGAGTGTAATTCACAGTCTTTCTTCCCGATAGGGACAACTCATTACTTAACTGCAACAATCTTTTTAATACATCTCTAACATTCATTTTTGCAATCTAGTTTATTTTCAAGCAGAGAGATTATTTCCAGTAAAATGACTATCACAGTATCTCTGTGCAGAAGTCTCTCTGCAGAATCAAGATATCACTGTGCATATTACATTAAAATTTAGACCACAGCATTCGAGACAAGGACACGTCTTGAAATCTGTGAAATGCCATAGAAAAAGATGAGACCCGGGAAAAGTTGTGGTTACGTGGATCTTCTTCACCCCTGTGAATAGATGCAGTCCTCAAGCTACAGCATTGCATGTAATTTACCAAGCTCTACTAGTACGCTCAGCTCTCCCCTCTCCTCAATTAACCTTGAAAAGCTGAGAGATACTTCCCTGCTGATTTCTGGATTGCCCTTAAAACTCCTGCTCTTTGTTGACAGTTACAAAACTACAGTTGCAGTCGGAAAATTAACTCTGCTGTAGTTTCTCTCTAATCAGACATTTACAGTACGCTTTTCCCAGCTACAGGTAATCCAATGTGCTCTATTTTACTTCTCCACGCAGTTTTTCTATTTTATGGGATACAGACATGAAGATTGTTGTGTTTTAGCAGCACTATTAGCCCTGCTGCTGTGCATTACCCATGTCTGAGCCTCCTTTCCACTGCTGTTTCTGTATATCCTGGTTAATTTAAGTTGCTACTTTCCTCCTGGCCTTGCCAAGAATCTGTACAGTTTTATAGGTTGACATCAGCTTGTTCCTAGCAGTTTGCCATTCTCTCCTTTCCCAATCTACTTTGCTTTCGTATTTTGGGGAGTTTTTTTGTGCCATTGGTACTTTGACAGATGTGTAGCAAAAGGGGAGGGAAAAATTTAAGGTTAAATAATAGTCAACATTGAATTACACTTTGTGGAAAAGGTATGTGTTCCGCCCAGCGTTTGGAGGTGAGGTGGTACAGAACACCTTGTGTGGGGCTCACCTATGCCCAGCTCACGGAGAACTGACAGCTCCAGCCCCTCCTTCCTCAAGAAGTGCGGAACAGTTTGTCAGAACGCTTCTAACTTGTGGCAAAACGGTGGGAGCAATTTTGTAGCCGTTTTTGTTTGTTTTTTTTTTTTTTTCCGTGATGACATTTGGTTGTCGCCGCCGTCGCTCCGGGCGGCCCGGCCGCGGCTGAGGCGGGGGGCGGCGGAGGGGCCCGGCTCCCCCGCTACCTCAGCGCCGCCGCCTCCTCACGGCTCCGGCGGGAAAGGGCCTCGGCGGGGGGCGGCCTCCGTCCTTCCTCTCCCGATCCTCGTCCCCTCGCCGGGGCAGCATCCCGACGCCGGCGTCTCCCGCCGACAGTGTGTCCCCCCCCGTTCTCCCGGCGGAGGCGAGGGCCCTGCCCCGCTCTCCGCACCTCTGCGGCAGCGCTCGGCTGGGGCAGCCCGGCCGCTCCGCCGAGGGACGCCCGCTATGCGCAGCAACGGTCAAGGAAACAAGGACACGCAAGGCAGCGCCGCGGGGGCCCGCACTGTGACGGCGGGG